GGGTAAGAATGATTCCCCCGGAATTGGGAAGTACTTCAATACCGAGAAAGTAACGAAGAGGACCAAGGTCCTTGACTGGGAAGGTCGCAGAGAGCTTCTGAAGCAGCTTTGTCATGGCAGAACTGGATGAACTCACGATGACAATATCGTCCACATATACAAGCATATAAACGGTCACACCCCCATCAGCAAAGATGAACAAGGACGTGTCAGCAGCCGAGGGAGAAAAACCGAGTTGTTGAAGGCGCTCACTGAGACGAGCGTACCAAGCGCGAGGCGACTGTTTCAAACCATACAACGCTTTATGCAGTTTGCAGACATAGTCCGGCCTGGTTGAATCCTGAAAACCGGGTGGTTGTTGCATGTAGGCTTCGTCAGTGAGAATACCATGCAGAAAAGCGTTGCTTATATCAATCTGTCGGCAGTGCCAGCCGCGGGAGACAGCGAGGGACAGCACCAAACGCACAGTTGCTGGTTTTACAACCGGGGAGAAAGTTTCAGAGTAGTCAAGCCCATGTTGCTGAGTGAAACCCCGAGCGACTAGTCTTGCTTTGAACTTGTCCAGAGAGCCATCAGCCTTGTGCTTCACCTTGAAAATCCATTTGCACCCGATGATATTTTTGCCAGGAGGACGAGGCACGAGAGACCACGTCCGGTTCTGCTGCAGGGCAGCAAATTCAGACTCCATGGCCGGGCGCCAGTGCTCATTCGCGAGGGCATCGCGGTAGGAGCGCGGCTCGGCGTGGAAAGCGCGGCGGCGAGGATCGTAGCGGACCGTGCCATCGCTCGGGACGAGCGGCTTGATGATGTTGTGTCGAAGACGGGTCGTCATCGGGTGCCGTGCGTCCGCAGGCGCTGCGGCTGCAGGAGCGGCGGCTGCTGGAGGGGGCGACGCAGGCGGCGTCGGTGATGCAGCCGGCCCAGGGGCCGAGGCGGGTGTGCTGTTAGGCGAGGACGAGTCGGCCCCATCCGGCGCGGGAGAAAAGTCAAGCCGGCCCATTGGAGAGACCGAGCTGCCCGCGCCCGGGGAAGCCGCTGGAGCGGGCGAGGGCGCATCTGCATGGGCGTGACGTGGCGTACATGGGGACGTTTCCTCCGGCGACGTCGAACGGGCGGAACCTGCAGAACCAGGAGACAAGCTGGATTCGGGATTAGCAAGCAAGGTCGTGTCATATCGCCGCATACGGTCATCCACTAAAGCTGGCTCGGTTAAGGAAAACAGAGAGGGAGGCGTGGATAACAGCGGGGACGTGGTGGATGACTGCGAAGATTGATCAAACGGAAATACAAGCTCGTCAAAAACAACATCCCGCGATATATAGATGCGTCCTGTGGACCGATCCAAACACTTGTACCCTTTATGCATGGAACTGTAGCCCAAGAATACGCACTGTATGGAACGAAATTCAAGCTTCCGGTTATTGTATGGCCTAAGGTTGGGCCAACAGGCACACCCGAACGCACGAAGAAATGTGTAGTCGGGTTGTTCATTGCGAAGGCAAGTGATCGGAGCAGAGTTCTGAAGAACTCGTGTGGGCATGCGATTTATAAGATAACATGCTGTAAGAAATGCCTCATCCCAAAAACGAACCGGAAAAGATGAATGAGCAAGCAAAGCGATACCCGTTTCAACAATATGGCGATGTTTGCGCTCGGCAAGGCCATTTTGTTGGCTCGTGTGAGGGCAAGAGACCCGATGAGTGATCCCTTCCCTTTGAAAATATTTGTTGAGGCGACGATACTCGCCACCCCAGTCGGTTTGAACAGTTTTAATTTTAGTATTCAACATGCGCTCAACATGTTTTTGAAAGGTGTAGAAGGCTTGCTCAACATCAGATTTTCGCTTAAGGAGATAAATCCACGTAAAACGACTAAAGTCATCTAAGAAACTCACATAATATTTGAAACCACCCGCAGAACGAATTGCAGGGCCCCATACATCGGAATGAATAAGTTCAAGTGGTTCATGTGTAATATGAGTAGAATCTCGAAAAGGCAATTGATGAACTTTAGCTCGTTGACAAGCATCACAAATACTAGACTGAAGCGAGGGTGCACAAGCGAATTTATTTGATCTAAGGACTGACTCAACGACTTCTTGTGAAGGGTGACCTAATCTTCGATGCCATAGTTCCGGGGAGAGCTTGACAGCGGAGAGAACTCGAGGACTTCGGACGACGATGGATGATTTATTGAGGCTTGGCACCGGGTAAAGGCCATGGCGACTTCTACCGCGAAGAAGAACTGTCTTGGTTGCTCGGTCCTTAAGATAGAAATAATGAGGATGAAATTCAGCAAAAGCGTCATTATCAGAAACAAGTTTGTGCACGGATAGGAGATGCTTGTTAACATGTGGAACATGCAGTATGTTGCGAAGGTGAATTGGTTTGGATGAGCCAGAAAAAGTGGAATGTCCGATATGGGAGATAGACATACCTGCCCCGTTTGCAGCATGCACCTTGTCCTTGCCGCCGTAGCGCTCGTGGATGCCGAGGCGGTCGAGGTCGCTGGTCAGGTGGTCGGTCGCACCTGTGTCAGCATACCAGTCCATGTCCACGGTGTACCCCGCGGAGCCGGTGTTGGTGTTGACGGAGTTGCAGGAGCGCTCGCGCTGCTCGTCGGGCTGGAATGCATGGTTGAAACGATTGCGGCAGTGAAGGGCGTCATGGCCAAACTTGCTGCACACCTGACACTTCAGGTTGGAGCGGCCGTTGCCGCGGCCACGCCCGCCGCGACCGCGCCCCTGTCCGCCGCCTTGTCCGCCATGTCCGCCGCCTTGACCGCCATGTCCGCCGCGTGCACCATTGCCGCCGCGATCATTGGCACGAGCAGCGGTGTTGGCGGAGGGATGGATTTCACCTGACGAATTTTGCTGCTCCAGGCGAAGTTCAGCACTAAGGAGATACGCATAGAAGCTGCTGAGACTTACTGGATCATCTCGCGCCGTGATCGACGCGATGAGTGGCTCGAACTCGGAGCCCAACCCAGCGAGCATGTAGCCGAGCACTTCATCGTCAGTGAGGGGCTTGCCAATGGACGCCATCGCATCAGCGAACCCCTTCATCTTGCGGTAGTAGTCAGAGGCAGAGAGGTCCTTCTTCTTCAGGTTGGAAAGTTGATACCTGAGCTGCATGATGCGGGCACGATTCTGCGAGGCGAACATGTCGTGCAGTGCAGTCCAAACAGCGGCGGAGGTCGTCAGCTGGGTCATCTGCCCGAGGATGTCCTCGGTCATGGAGCCGAGGAGGGCGATCATGACGAGCTGGTCCTGCTGGTACCAGCGAAGAAACTCCGGATTGGCCACATCAACAGCCGCATCACCGGTTCCTTCCTTGATGGTGTGCGGCGGGGCTGCGGCGGTGCCGGCAACATAGCCGAACAGGCCGTTTGCAGCGAGGGCGGGGACGGCTTGGGTCTTCCATAGCAGGAAGTTATCGCGCGTAAGGCGCAGAGTGATCAGGCTACCGAGCGAGGTGACCGAGATCGGAGCGGAAGTGGAGGAACCGGCGGACAGGGTGCCGGCGTTGAGGGTGGTGAGGGTGCCGGCGGTGCCGGAGAGGGAAGCAGCAGGGTTGGTGCCAGTCATGGTGGAGGAAGTGAGATTGGATCTTTCGCTCTGTATACCAAGTCAAAAAGATTGATTTGCCGTGATTATCCCCGTAGGGTTGGCCGTGTATTTATAATAGACAATGCGTGATCGCATCTGTAGATACAACAGAATACAGGATCCTAACAAGAGGATAAGTCTATACACGGATAAGTACTGATAAGTCTATACACGGATAAGTACTGAATTTGTTAGCTCTAACTAACACAGCAATATACGATTGTTAACAAACCAAAGCACCTCACAACCTCAAAGTCTCGGCCATTTTTTTAGCCTCAGCCAACGAAGCATGAGCTCAATCACTAAGTGGTTTTCCTTGAGGTGTCCCGGAGCATAAATCCACACTTTTTAGGGCCATTGATAGGGGCAAGGATGTCCCAATCTTTCAATGAGAAAGATTTTGTCGATTTGGATGGAGAACAACTTTGACGCCAATCTCATGAATGTTACCGTCAATGCCGGTGCCAGATGCGTGGTTAGCCTGACCAAGAAGGTCTACCTGGAAGCAATAAAAAAACGATCAAGAATATGGTAGAAGCAATCTGGATATTGCGAGTATAGATGAAATATTGATTATCTTAAACGGAGTACACAAAGGTGCAACAACGACTAACTTTTTGGCTAAATAAAATCCAAAGCAAACACTATAAGGTTGATCTATCTACATAGGACTAAGAGGTGGCGGCCAATGGGGTTGACGCACACCCAATGACAGCAAACAACCCTAAATCATACAAGGCTCATAGTGTTTGATTGTTATTTGTGTGCATATTAAATTCCCTCTTAAGTAATGGAATTTAGGCACTTCTGTCATATTTTCAGAAAAGAAGGAAAATATAACTGCTATCTCGAGCAAATGCACCGTAGTTAGGCGTTTTTATATTGTTAGGCGACCAGTGTTCGTTAGATTGTTGTTTTAGAAGAATTGCAGTTCACTCATAAAATCAGCAAAACCGATCATGCTGGAAATTTACCTGCCTCCAAAATAAAATCCACTCTGTTCAGTAAGAAAACTCGCTGCGCCGTCGTGTCCTTCAATTGACTACTGTTGACTGTTGTAGCCGCGGAAACGTGGACTGAAGACACCCCGCAAGAACGAAAAGGACATCATCGATCAAATGTATCTGTAAATTAGACAAGAATCTTTTGATATCGTACATCTAATGATGTTTACCAGTAATCAAGTGATTAATAACTGCTGTATTAAATCACTTTGCATAATCAGAAGGGGGAATCGCACTCGCACTAACAAAAAAACTGCCAGCGATTCAGTAGATTAGGGCTAACCGACCCTGTAATCACCCACACCTGTATGGACAGTATGGTCAGACTAATTGATCATGCCTAACTTCACTTCTTGGATCGATCCTCTGCTCCGAGTGGATCCATGGCCTCACTTGAACACGTCCCGGAAATCAATGAAAGGGTCGTTGAACTCCACCGTCGGAACCATCTGCTCCCGCTCCCGGCGGGCCTCAGCCCTCCGCCGCTCGATCTCGCGCCTGTGGATGGCCTCGGCCTCGGCCTCGGCATCCTCAGCGGCAATACGAGCCTTGGCGAGACGGGCCTTCTCGAGGAGCTCGCGCATGCTGCAGGAGGCCAGGGGCCTCAGCGACGAGGCGCTGGTCTGGTTCTCGGCAAGGCGAGCATTCTCGCGTACGCTGGAAGCTGGTGGCTTGGGTGGCGCCGTGAGCTCGGGAGGCTGAGTCGGCGAGGCGCTGGTCTGGTTCTTGGTCACGCGGAGGGCTTCGACGCCGCTGACTGGACTGGGACCCGGGCGCTTCTTGTTCCTGGCGGCGGCAGCGGCAGCGGACGCGACCTCGCCGGAAGCACAACGCACGCTCTTCGCCGGAGGTTCCCCGTGGTCGAGCGATCCTGCAGGCCGCTTCGGCTTCTTGGCGGCGTCGGTGGGCTTGGCGACGCAGGCGGGGTTGATCCGGACGCGGGAGAACGCCAGTGGCGGAGCCAAGGGGGGGCGAGCAGGGGCCAGGCCCCCCCTAACGATCGGCGGACATCTCGTATCAGCAATTAATTAGCGATAAGATTTGCAGGTACAACGTTCTTGGCCCCCCCTATCGATCGTTACGTGAATATTGGAGAAAGGAAAAAGGCCCATGTACAAGCCCACTAGTTAGTCGTTTCTAAGTCCATGCCAAGGTAGATTGTACGATGGGCCTCCGCTAAATCTCTTACCGCTGAGCCGCTGCCGTCCTACGCCTTCGCCGCCTGCCTATCTCTGCTCTTCCATCCAATCTGATTCATCCCCTCAAAAAAAAAAAATATATAATCTGATTCATACGGCAATGCAGGCTGCTTCACCCACCAATTCTTCATGCTAGCCAACGAACTTGCCGAGGTTAACACATCACACCACCTACTAATCTCTTTCAATTCTAATCTTGTATTGTATTGAACTTCTACATCTGATTAAGTTATTTTGTTGTGTGATCTGTGATGCGTTGCGGCGCTAGGTTAAAGCACCTGAAATAGTTCAAAAGCTCAGACTCGTCAATGTTTGGTTGAGCACTCATATACAGTTATGGTTGTCGCATATGCCTGCCAACGACGACTATCTGATGTACTTGAACCTAGCGGCAAAGGGGATAAGGAGGGGTGGATTTGGTTTTCCAGGTATGTGTTCTAGCAACGTTGATCTGTTTTTGCTAACTAAATAATATTTTTTTCTAATACAACCAGTGATGATTTCTCATTCAAACCTATGTAAATGCAAGTTAAAAGCGAACCAAGTGATAATACATGATTATTCTTGTCCGTATATCTTAAATTCCCATATGACAATGTTTAATAGCACGGCATCCCATGTCGTATTTCAGAGTAGTTTGATAATCAAATTTGTCTTCTTGGCGTTTAAGTGGAATTATTGACTAATATTAGCTATTTGCTACACATGCTCCGGCAGCCAAAAAAACTTATGTTCCCAGGCAAAGTTAAATGAGAATGATACGTGAATATAAATTATTAGGTAGTATGTGAGGCATAATATTTACTGGCTTCATGCCGTCTGGCCCCCCCTATGCCTAAATCCTGGCTCCGCCGCTGGAGAACGCGCAAGCTCCGGGGAGGGAAGCGGCGGGTCCGCCCGAGGCCAGGGAGCGGGGGTGGGCGGTGGCGCCCATGGCCGGAGCAGATCGGGGCGCACGAGACGAGATCATGGAGGGGAACCGATCGATCGGGAGACCGGGAGGAGCAAGAAAGAGATAGCGCGGGGGTCAAGTTTAGGGCGGAAGTAGCCGCAAGAAGACGCGCCGCGAGAGGATTCAAGTCCGAGTTCGAAATGAAAAGGGTTTACGTTGTAGCGGTGGGCCCAGTTGTCGGTGAGCCGGGCCTGGACCTGGTAAGTTCCGGTACGGCTTGGCTTAGCTGTGATATATTCGTAGATCGTGTAAACTCTCAGGAGGTGTTTGGTTTGGCAAATTGTAACGCAACCTGTTAACGACGGTAACGGATTGCGTTAATAGCTGTTTGTTTAGGTAGCTCCGTTATTGGTTACGGTGTAAACAGATTCCACCCAAGTCTCGGTCTGATTACGCCCGAACCTGACCGCAAACAGATCCCTTCCCCGAGTCCTCGAGCCTCCAACCCTTCCCCTCCGCCGCCTCCAGCCCTCGACTGGCCTTCGCTGATCTCCTTCTCCGGCCACCCCCGTCGGCGTCGGAGGCGTCGAGGCCGACTTCCCCGGCGTCAAGAAGAAGCCCACCCGCTCTGATGAGGACATCAATACAATTGTTACACCCACAGCCCCTGCTGCTATACATACTGGACCAATTACTAGAGCTCGTGCACGCCAACTAAATTACCAGGTACTTTCGTTTCTTGGTAATGATTCTAATGTTCATGAGAATATGATGCTGCCTAAATTGGATACATTTGTTTTGCTTACAAATGAAGGGCCTAGCTTGGAGAAGGATGAACATTGGAGCAAGAACAAGCATGAAGATGATGGCATGCGCAAGGGGAACAAGAACGGAGTTACAAGTGATGATTTCAGGACTTTGAAGCCACCATAATGGGTGCATGAAGCCTTGGACGAAATATACAAGATGCCACTTCACAAAATTCGTCCCGAGGCTATTTTAGGTGCTGCGTCACCTTATTATTGGGCCAGGCCCATGTAATTTCGAAATACATAAGTAAAGGCTATTTTTAGAGTCCGTATGTGTGGGGAAACAAGAGATAGGGTTGATTTCGGACCCCTCCACCAAGGGCCACGAAATTCCCCCCCCCCTCTTCCTCCATATATACAGCCCTTAGGGCATCGTTTAGACTTTGGGTTTTGTTTAGATTAAAAGTTCGCCATAGCTGCAACTTCGCGTACTTCGTTTGTGTTCAACGACCAGACAAAGGCGTCACAGAACCCCACCTTGATCAATAAAGCTTTCATCTTATATTCGCAATATCCAGATTGCAATCTCAGTTTCTTGCTTGTTCTTCGTTTGCTCGCAGGAAATAGACCCTCGTGGTCAGGTTGATCGTGCTCCGGCGTGGTCAATAACCTCTCGGAGTTGGTTTAGCGATTGCTAAGGCGCGACGTCCTCGCACGTTCGTAGTCGGATCGTCAAAGTCGACTGCCACCAAAGCGATATCCATCATCTCATCGAAAGACGGGACACCTTTGCCTCTATCAAGTGGTATCAGATTTCCAGGTTGCTCGGTGAGATTTTATAGTTTTTCGTAGTTTAGATCGAGTCTGTTCTTCATACCTACAGTCCACGAAAAAGCCACAAAAAAAATTAGGGTTAGTTCATCATATCCGAACCAATCTGAGCCTTTGCATAATCTTTTTAGGGTTTTGCTTTGTTGAATTTGCGGTTGCATCGTCGTGTCTAGTTGCTGGTCTTAGAGTCTAGTCTTTTAGAGTTTCGAGTTCTGGTCATAAGTTGTCACGCCGCCGCCGCACCATCATCATCGCCCCTGCCATCTACCACCACCGCTCCGAATCCGTATCCATATACCACCACCAATCCGTGTCCATATACCACCACCGATCCATATCCATATACTACCACCGCTACCACCACCGCTGCCATATACCACCACCATATATCCACCACCAATCCGAGTTCCTTGCTTATTAGGTTTGTTTTCGAGATCCATCTAGTTTCCGATTCGTGTTTTCCTTGCCATCTACCACCATATATCCACCACCAATCCGAGTTCTTGTCATATTAGGTTTGTTTTCGAGATCCATCTAGATTCCGATTCGTGTTTCCTTGCCGGAGTAGGTCGGGAAACCACGCTCCGTGATGAGGACATCAATACAATTGTTACACCCACAGCCCCTGCTGCTATACATACTGGACCAATTACTAGAGCTCGTGCACGCCAACTAAATTACCAGGTACTTTCGTTTCTTGGTAATGATTCTAATGTTCATGAGAATATGATGCTGCCTAAATTGGATACATTTGTTTTGCTTACAAATGAAGGGCCTAGCTTGGAGAAGGATGAACATTGGAGCAAGAACAAGCATGGAGATGATGGCATGCGCAAGGGAAACAAGAACGGAGTTACAAGTGATGATTTCAGGACTTTGAAGCCACCATAATGGGTGCATGAAGCCTTGGACGAAATATACAAGACGCCACTTCATAAATTTCGTCCCGAGGCTATTTTAGGTGCTGCGTCACCTTATTATTGGGCCAGGCCCATGTAATTTCGAAATACATAAGTATAGGCTATTTTTAGAGTCCGTATGTGTGGGGAAACAGAGATAGGGTTGATTTCGGACCCCTCCACCAAGGGCCACGAAATTCCCCCCCTCTTCCTCCATATATACAGCCCTTAGGGCATCGTTTAGACTTTGGGTTTTGTTTAGATTAAAAGTTCGCCATAGCTGCAACTTCGCGTACTTCGTTTGTGTTCAACGACCAGACAAAGGCGTCACAGAACCCCACCTTGATCAATAAAGCTTTCATCTTATATTCGCAATATCCAGATTGCAATCTTAGTTTCTTGCTTGTTCTTCGTTTGCTCGCAGGAAACAGACCTTCGTGGTCAGGTTGATCGTGCTCCGGCGTGGTCAATAACCTCTCGGAGTTGGTTTAGCGATTGCTAAGGCGCGACGACCTCGCACGTTCGTAGTCGGATCGTCAAAGTCGACTTCCACCAAAGCGAAATCCACCATCTCATCGAAAGACGGGACACCTTTGCCTCTATCATCAAGTTTATATGCATTATCATTTATTTTCTCTAACACCTTAAAGGGACCATCAGCACGTGGCATTAACTTTGATTTGCGCAAATCAGGAAATCTATCCTTACGCAAATGTAACCTAACAAGATCTCCAGGTGCAAACACAACATGTTTTCTACCCTTATCTCCAGCAAGTTTATATTTAGCATTCATGCGCTCAATGTTTTCCTTAGTTAACTCATGCATTTTTAAAATCAATTCAGCACGTTGTTTAGCATCAAAATTAACCTTCTCCGAAGATGGAAGAGGCAACAAATCAATAGGTGCACGAGGTAGGAAACCATACACAACTTCAAAAGGGCACATCTTAGTAGTAGAATGCAATGAACGATTATAAGCAAATTCAATATGAGGCAAGCATTCCTCCCACATTTTCTTATTATTCTTCAAAACAGCCCTAAGCATAGTAGACAACGTTCTATTGACTACTTCAGTTTGTCCATCAGTTTGGGGGTGACAAGTAGTACTAAAAAGCAGTTTAGTCCCCAACTTAGCCCATAAACATCTCCAAAAGTGGCTAAGAAATTTAGTATCACGAGCTGAAACAATAGTATTTGGCACACCATGCAAGCGAATAATTTCACGAAAGAACAAATCAGCAACATTAACAGCATCATCGCTTTTATGACATGGTATAAAGTGTGCCATTTTCGAGAATCTATCCACGACAACAAATATGCTATCCCTCCCCTTCTTTGTTCGAGGTAAACCTAAAACAAAGTCCATAGATATATCCTCCCAAGGAACACTAGGTACAGGCAAAGGCATATATAAACCATGAGGATTGAGTCGTGACTTAGCTTTTTGACATGTAGTGCAGCGAGCAATAAAACGCTCAACATCCCGTCTCATCTTTGGCCAAAAGAAATGTGTAGCAAGTACGTCCTCCGTCTACTTCACGCCAAAGTGTCCCATTAATCCTCCTCCATGCGCCTCCTGCAACAACAAAAGACGAACGGAGCTAGCTGGAATGCATAGCTTGTTAGCACGAAACACAAATTGATGAGGACATCAATACAATTGTTAGACCCACAGCCCCTGCTGCTATACATACTGGACCAATTACTAGAGCTCGTGCACGCCAACTAAATTACCAGGTACTTTCGTTTCTTGGTAATGATTCTAATGTTCATGAGAATATGATGCTGCCTAAATTGGATACATTTGTTTTGCTTACAAATGAAGGGCCTAGCTTGGAGAAGGATGAACATTGGAGCAAGAACAAGCATGGAGATGATGCCATGCGCAAGGGGAACAAGAACGGAGTTACAAGTGATGATTTCAGGACTTTGAAGCCACCATAATGGGTGCATGAAGCCTTGGACGAAATATACAAGATGCCACTTCATAAATTTCGTCCCGAGGCTATTTTAGGTGCTGCGTCACCTTATTATTGGGCCAGGCCCATGTAATTTCGAAATACATAAGTATAGGCTATTTTTAGAGTCTGTATGTGTGGGGAAACAAGAGATAGGGTTGATTTCGGACCCCTCCACCAAGGGCCACGAAATTCCCCCCCCTCTTCCTCCATATATACAGCCCTTAGGGCATCGTTTAGACTTTGGGTTTTGTTTAGATTAAAAGTTCGCCATAGCTGCAACTTCGCGTACTTCGTTTGTGTTCAACGACCAGACAAAGGCGTCACAGAACCCCACCTTGATCAATAAAGCTTTCATCTTATATTCGCAATATCCAGATTGCAATCTTAGTTTCTTGCTTGTTCTTCGTTTGCTCGCAGGAAACAGACCTTCGTGGTCAGGTTGATCGTGCTCCGGCGTGGTCAATAACCTCTCGGAGTTGGTTTAGCGATTGCTAAGGCGCGACGTCCTCGCACGTTCGTAGTCGGATCGACAAAGTCGACTTCCACCAAAGCGAAATCCACCATCTCATCGAAAGACGGGACACCTTTGCCTCTATCAAGTGGTATCAGATTTCCAGGTTGCTCGGTGAGATTTTACAGTTTTTTGTAGTTTAGATCGAGTCTGTTCTTCATACCTACAGTCCACGAAAAAGCCACAAAAAAAAAATTTAGGGTTAGTTCATCATATCCGAACCAATCTGAGCCTTTGCATAATCTTTTTAGGGTTTTGCTTTGTTGAATTTGCGGTTGCATCGTCGTGTCTAGTTGCTGGTCTTAGAGTCTAGTCTTTTAGAGTTTCGAGTTCTGGTCATAAGTTGTCACGCCGCCGCCGCACCATCATCATCGCCCCTGCCATCTACCACCACCGCTTATCCGCCACCGCTCCGAATCCGTATCCATATACCACCACCAATCCGTGTCCATATACCACCACCGATCCATATCCATATACTACCACCGCTACCACCACCGCTGCCATCTACCACCACCATATATCCACCACCAATCCGAGTTCCTTGCATATTAGGTTTGTTTTCGAGATCCATCTAGCTTCCGATTCGTGTTTCCTTGCCGGAGTAGGTTTCGAAAAAAAAAAGGAGTCGGGTAGCCACGCTCCGTTTAGGCCCAAAATTTTTCGAAAACGCAT